TGCTGGCTGGAGAATTCTGGGAGTTGAAGTCCACATATCTTAAAGTTGCTAAGGTTGAGAAACACTGCCTTAAGATAACTAACCATGACTAACATCTTTCCAGCTGTAGTATTCCTGGCAGATAATTACTTAACTCCCATTTAAAGAATTTCAGTCAAAGAAAGCCCATCACCTTCAGTTAAAACAAAAACCAAAAAAAACTGGTCCCCTCTCACATATTTGTTATGGCCTGGAGCTTTAAGAATAAGATTGTTAATTTTTTTTTTTTTTAATTTTGCTCACCCTTGGCAATTTCACGCAATTTCATTTTGGCCTGGCCAGTGTTTTCTGCTTGCAAGAGTGATTTGTTTCTCTTGGCTGTTGCATCAACGTTGTTCTCCTCCCCTTCTTTTATCAGGGTCTTGGGCAAAAAGCAGAAAGGGACGGCCACCAGGAGATTCACAACGGCACATACTAAGACTCCCAGCCACCAAGCCCCGACCCAGCGAGCATCCGTGAGGCTTATCAACACCTCCTCTGGTGAGAAATGGAGATTAGGAGTCATTCATTAGTCTTTGGGGTTGGGTGAGATGTATTCATAGAGAGCGGGAAGGGAGGCAAAAGGGAGAGTGTCCAGGTGGTCCCCAGTTTAAGAACAAGTTCCTTTCCCAAGGTCTGTCCTTAAGTTTAATTTGTATGTAAGCTGGAACACTATTATTGTATAATACTGTATAAATAGTACTGTGCATTTAACTGAAATCATTGTGTATTTAACTCAAATTTTGCTACAATAGGCTCCGTTCTTCACTCTATGGGTCATCTGTAACCCAGACATTTTTAACCCGGGGACTACCTGTAGTCAAGAATGTCTTCATCCTTTATTAATTTTTGTCTTCAGCCCAGAATTCCCACTTTTTAAATATTTATACCCCTTTCTTTCTGGCTTTTAAGCCATTTTTGTGATCACTGTTCCTCTGAGAATGCATCAGAGGAAAGGCTCCACAATTTCTCAGGTCCATTGTGGGGCAAGATGGCCCCTGGTGGAGGAGTTTTGCTGCTCCATGAAGGGACAGCAAAAAGGAGTTCTCGCAACCATCTTTCTTTTGATAATGCATCTGTGAAATGGGCCCATCCATGGCATCCTTTCTCAGATGCATTGTGGGTGAAGCGGGTCCCCATGGAGAAGGACTGTTGCTTCTACACAAAGACATGATTTAAAGAAAGAATAAAGGGATTTTAAAAAGGAGAAGTATGAGTAGGCCTTATCTAGGACATGGATATTCTCCCTCTCTCTCTCTTTGTGTTGTTGACAACATTAGAAGCAGTATGACTCTTCCTAAAAAACACATAGTCTAATCGCAATCATTTCCTTATTCAATACAAGAGACTGTCTTGAAAAGCAATCATGTGGAATAGGATGTCATCATTTTTTTTCAGATAGATATAAAAGTATCCTGAATATTGAAAACCTACCACCAACTTGGGCAACATCCAGTTGTGTGAACTTCATCTCCCAGAATTCTCAGCAAAGGCTACACTGGTTGGGGAATTCTGGGAGTTGAAGTCTGGTAGTTTGTTTCCCAACCTTAATTTGATTAATCTTAACACGGCATCTGATGAAATAGGTTGCAGCTCACGAAAGTTTATGCCTTTTAATAAAATTTGTTAGTCAGAAAAGACGCTACCAGACTCCTCATTTTTTGGCCCCATAGACTAACACAGCTTTCTTCTTACTATCTATACTATCTATACTATCAGTGACAAAGATAGATAGATAGATAGATAGATAGATAGATAGATAGATAGATAGATAGATAGATAGATAGATTCAGACAAACAGACGGACAGATGGACAGACGGACAGACAGACACAGACACTATGTATATATGTAGCTTTCCCATAAAGAGGAAAAATAACCTGCTGCCTTCCAGATGTTTAGGGGAACCTCAACTTATTATTTCCAGCCAACATGGGAAGAATTAGGTTTGGGATTCAAAACGTCTGGAAGGCCTTAGGTTGCCAACACACACCTTTTCCTTTATGAATCTGAAGGAGGAATACACAGGGAACCCAAATTATTTCTCACCCAAGCACCAATAAGATCCAAATCCTGTTTAGGTAACTACGCCTCCAGATCATGCTTTGACATAGGAATATGCAACTTTTGAGGATTCTGGAGCTGCAATTCATCTCCCAAACCTTTTGGTGGGCTGCAGAAGGTCAGATGGAGATGCGGTAACATCCCCACAAGGGGAACAAAACCCCTGCCCTGTTTTTTAACAGTTTTAAGAAAGGAATCAGACCAGTTTGCTTCCCATAAACCTCCTGCTTCTACCCACCCTTAAGTTCCCCCACATACAAAATGATGACTGAAATAGTAGTAATTTGAACGTAGGCAACTTCAGGAGTAGGAATGAGAGCAGAATTTTAAATAAAAAGAGGGAAGTGCACTGCCAAAATTCAGCCATTTTGCCACTGATTTTCAGTGTCGTGATGTCAGTGTGCAAGGTTAGGGATGGAACCATGATGACCCATGTTTACCGTAATAATCAGGTCACTACATTTCCATTCATGACCAGGCAAAGAGAGAACAGTCACTGTAACAACTGATACTAGCCGGCAATGCTCCAAAGTTTAAAAATTCAGAATGACATGCATGGAATTCATTTTTCTGGGGATTAATGGTTACAGATTTTCTTGACTGTAATTGTCTTACCCAGGTTTATGAATCCAATATCCACGTACAGTTGGGCACAGTAGGAGCCAATCATTAAACCAAATAAAGGACCTAGTACAGTTGCTATCTGTAGACAGCCTAAAGGAGTGGAAAAGATTAAAACATATTAAAGGGGTTAATTCGTTATTTCAAGTTATGTCTGTTCCAACACTGGTTTGTCCTGCTATCTTCAGCCTCTTAGAGGGTTTGCCTTATCAGAGTAAGCTAATTCCAGACTGGGCTCAGAACCTGTACGCAGTCATCATATACAACATTTTTGCTCCAGTTCTTGGAGAGCTGGAGTTAAAATGGCAAAAGAACATTGAAGACAGGTCCCACCATGTATGTTAAGGGGGTCATTATGTTACGGGAACACAAAACAGGGATTGACCAGTCAACTAAACCCAAGGGGAGTCAAATTCAGCCTCACAGACCAATTTTTGCACATGGTTAAGCCAAGTCTACCCAGGGTCATCGATATCATGTAAAAAAAAGTGGGGGGGGGGGCTTCAATTGCAGAGTCACAACTGTCATTTTAACTTTTTTAACTTCTCCCCCAGAACACCCCAAACTATGGGAACTGAGCTAACTCGGTAAAAAAAGAACTGTAGATGAAAAAAGGGCTGAAAGAGGAGGCCTTCCCATTATAGATTTCACTACCAAGCACAGAATACCTCCCCATCTAATACTGATTGGCGGCAGGGGCCAACCCGTGCCTCCAGACAGCAGCCTCCACAGAGGGAGTCAAACAGGCTAATAATGCAAGCCCTAACATTGCATACATGTGCCTAAGGAGCAGAACTTGCATGGCAATGCCAGAACACACATTTCAGCGTTCTGACAAACTATCTGGATTCTACGGACACCTCAGGTAATTGGGTGCTGCGTGAAGCATGAGTAGATATTTATTTTATTTATTTTATTTTATTAATCAAATTTATATGCCACCCATCTCATTGTATAAGTGACTCTAGGCAGCTTACAAGTAAAAATTGCACATATTCAACTGGAGTAGTGGCTGGCTGGATTTACATATAGCATATTGGTTTCTGGAAATACATAAATGTGATTACGGATAGTCCTCGAGTTACATTCATTTGTTCAGTGACCATTTAAAGTTACGGCAGCACTGAAAAAATGAACTTACGACGAGTCCTCAAAGTTGTGGCCATCGCAGCATCCCCATGGTCACGTGATCGTGATCCAGGCGCTTGGCAACCAGCTTGTACCTACAACGGTTGCAGCATCCTGGGGTCACGTGATCACCATTTGCGACCTTCCTTGCTGGCTTCCCATGAGCAAAATCAATGGGGAAGCTGGCAGGAGGTCACAAGTCGCTCCAGTAAGTCGCTCCCCCTCCTGCCACTTTTTCTCCCAAGGAGTCCCTGGGCAGCAGGGCGAGCGCAGGCCCCAGGCAGGTGGGCAGCTGCCGGCCTGACCAGACTTGCGCCAAGCCACGGCACTCACCCACGTGCCTGCCTGCACTCATGCTGCACTGCAGCACCCACCCCCCTCCCACCCGCACTCTGTAGCACTCACCCACCCACCAGCCTGTTTGTGAGCCGCCTAAGGAAAGGCTTGTGGTGACCAGGACTTGCAACTTCCTGCCAGCTTCCCCACTGACTTTGCTTGTTGGAAGCGACAGGAAGTCACAAGTCGCGATCATAGGAGGCCCTGCTTAATGACCCACGATCCTTGCTTAATGGTGGCAATGGGGATTGCCAGGATTGCTGTCGCTAAGTGATGCAATCACCTGACATTGCACTTTACGACTGCATTGCTTAGTGATGGAAATTCCGGTCACAACTGCCATCATAACTCAAGGACTACCTGTATAAATAAATAAGATTTCCTTCTTACTTTAGATCAGGGTTCCTCAACCTCAGCAACTTTAAGATGGGTGGACTTCAA